GCCGTCCCCCGGGGCCATCCTGCCTGGACTGTCCTCCTTGGGGCCGTCCCCCGGGGCCATCCTGCCTGGACCGTCCTCCTCGGGGCCGTCCTCCCCGGGGCCATCCTCCCTGGACCGTCCTCAGGGCCATCCTGCCTGGACCGTCCTCCTCGGGGCCGTCCCCCGGGGCCATCCTCCCTGGACCGTCCTCAGGGCCATCCTCCCTGGACTGTCCTCCTCGGGGCCGTCCTCCCTGGACCGTCCTCAGGGCCATCCTGCCTGGACTGTCCTCCTTGGGGCCGTCTCCCGGGGCCATCCTGCCTGGACCGTCCTCCTCGGGGCCGTCCTCCCCGGGGCCATCCTCCCTGGACCGTCCTCAGGGCCATCCTGCCTGGACTGTCCTCCTCAGGGCCGTCCCCCGGGGCCATCCTGCCTGGACTGTCCTCCTTGGGGCCGTCCCCCGGGGCCATCCTGCCTGGACCGTCCTCCTCGGGGCCGTCCTCCCCGGGGCCATCCTCCCTGGACCGTCCTCAGGGCCATCCTGCCTGGACCGTCCTCCTCGGGGCCGTCCCCCGGGGCCATCCTCCCTGGACCGTCCTCAGGGCCATCCTCCCTGGACTGTCCTCCTCGGGGCCGTCCTCCCCGGGGCCATCCTCCCTGGACCGTCCTCAGGGCCATCCTGCCTGGACCGTCCTCCTCGGGGCCATCCTCCCTGGACCGTCCTCAGGGCCATCCTGCCTGGACCGTCCTCCTCGGGGCCGTCCTCCCCGGGGCCATCCTCCCTGGACCGTCCTCAGGGCCATCCTGCCTGGACTGTCCCCCTTGGGGCCGTCCTCCCCGGGGCCATCCTCCCTGGACCGTCCTCAGGGCCATCCTGCCTGGACCGTCCTCCTTGGGGCCGTCCTCCCCGGGGCCATCCTCCCTGGACCGTCCTCAGGGCCATCCTCCCTGGACTGTCCTCCTCGGGGCCGTCCCCCGGGGCCATCCTGCCTGGACTGTCCTCCCCAGGCCCGGCCTGCTGCCACTCACAGGGGCCAGAGTGCCCCCACCTGTGTCCAAAGCCTGTAGCCTTTCTGGAGGGAGGACCTGAGGGATGACACAGCTTGCCAGGCAGGGAGGCTGTAGGCGGGGATTCAGGCAGAATGAGGCTCTGGGCCTCCCTGGGCAGAGTCCTGGTTTCCCGGAGCTCCCGGGATGCAGCTCATGCCCTCTTTTCCTCGGGCAGCCCGACTCTGTTCTCACAGCTCAGGCAGGCTGGCCTCAGCCTGGCCTGTATCCTTGGCTCTGGGATCAGGTGTGTTCCCAGCTGCAGGGGCACCAAGGGGACTGCTTCTTTCGGTGACGCCTGTGTCCCCGCCTGGACAGGAACGAGCGGCCGTACGTCTGTGAGTTCTGCAGCCACGCCTTCACCCAGAAGGCCAATCTCAACATGCACCTGCGCACGCACACGGGGGAGAAGCCCTTCCAGTGCCACCTCTGTGGCAAGACCTTCCGCACCCAAGGTGAGGCAGGCCGGCCCCTCCCCGGGCTGGGGCTGAGGCCTGGCGGCTGAGCCCCGCTCCTTGTCCCCACAGCCAGCCTGGACAAGCACAACCGCACCCACACTGGCGAGAGGCCCTTCAGCTGTGAGTTCTGCGAGCAGCGCTTCACGGAGAAGGGGCCCCTGCTGAGGCACGTGGCCAGCCGCCACCAGGAGGGCCGGCCCCACTTCTGCCAGATCTGCGGGAAGACCTTCAAAGGTACCTGGCCTGTGGAAGGCCATCGCCCTGCCTTACCCTGGGCGGAGAGAGGGCCAGGCCCTTTCCCCTGGTTAGAGCTGGAGGGGTTCCCCGGGAAAGGCTGGGTGCAGCAGTGGCTGTCACATGCCCCTTGGCAGCAGAACCCTCTTGCCAGCAGGGAGGGGGTGGAGGCTCCCGAAGGCCCCGGGCAGTAGTGACTTCAGGGTGCTGCCCGAGAAGCTGGCAGGGCCAAGCCCGCCCACTTCCTGCCTCCCCTGACCCCGGCCCTTCCCTCCTGCAGCCGTGGAGCAGCTGCGCGTGCATGTGAGGAGACACAAGGGGGTCAGGAAGTTCGAGTGCACCGAATGCGGCTACAAGTTCACCAGGCAGGTAGGCCTGGGGCTGGCTTGCCTCCTCCAGCCCCTTCGGGCCTCTGAACCCTCCTCCTTCGGCACCCAGCCTGAGCCCCCCTAACCCCTAGGCCCACCTGCGGAGGCACATGGAGATCCACGACCGGGTGGAGAACTACAACCCCAGGCAGCGCAAGCTCCGGAACCTGGTCATTGAGGATGAGAAGATGGTGGTGGTGGCGCTCCAGCCGCCCCCCGACTTGGAGGTGGGCTCAGCTGAGGTCATCGTGGAGTCACTGGCCCATGGCGGCCTGGCCTCCCAGCTTCCTGGCCAGAGACTGTGTGCTGAGGAGAGCTTCACAGGTGCGGGTGTCATGGAGCCCTCACTCATCATCACGGCTGCCATCCCCGAAGACTGTGACACGTAGCCCCTCACCCAAGTGAGCGGTCCACTTGGCCCCAGCCCCCAATAAACCACAGGGCTTTGGACTCGACCATTCCAGCCCATCCAGTGGTCTGTTCCCCTGGGAACTTGGGCTCTAGGAGGAGCTGCTTTCCTGCCATGTCCTCTAGAAGAAATGGGGCACTGCCTGATTTGTGCATCCCAGAGCTTGGCCAGCAGCTTCCCCAGGTTGTTGGGAGACCCCACGGGTGAAATGTGGGTTGGTAGCTTTGGGGGCCACGCCTCTGGCTCGGGGCACTCTAATTTTTCTCCCGTCTGGGTTTTAGAACTGGACCAGATGGATCAGTAGTGTTCCTACAGCATAGCTTCGGCAATGCCAGCTAGTGAGAGCAGAATTCATCACTCAGCCTCTGGAGTCAAAACAGGGTGGCCAGGGTCCTGATGATGGTGGCTGGCCAAGATGGGGGCCCAGTGAGTGTGCAGCCGAGCGGATCTGGGGCTGGAGGACAGGCTTGCGGCTAAGCATACTCTGAATCCTGGCTGGTGGAGAGACTACAGGCAGGAACTTTACCTGGGGAGAAGCTTGTCCAGGGGGCTGGCTTGAGGCACAGGCAAGGCCAGGCCTAGAATGGCCAGAGGCCTGGGTAGCACACAGGTTCCGTAGCCGTGGGAAGAAGCGCCTGGGCTTAGGAGGCCAGTTGCCTGCACCGATTCCTCCCCAGCTCCTTCGTGATGTTTGTGACCTGGGGCAAATGACTAAGTGCTTCATTTCCTTATTTTTAATGGAATTAGTGACAGTACATGCTTCATAGAGAAGAATTAAATGAGGGAGCCTGCTGTTCCAGTCTGACTACTGGGTAACAGAACACCCAGAACGCCCATGGGCTGGAGGGCAGGTCTGCTTTCAGGATGGCTCACTTGTGTGTGCCTGAGAAGGTGGCCCTGGCTGTGGGCCGGGTGCCCCTCAAGGGGTTGCGTGGGCTCCACCAGAGAATGGTAGCTGAGTGCCGAGTGCACACATCCCAACAGGCCAAAGCTGCCTGTCTGTGACCCAGCCCTGCAAGTCCAGTGTCACCCCGCCACATGGCGTTGGTCCAGGCAGTCATCACAACATCATTCCTCAGGTTCAAGGCTAGGGAACGTGGGCCCCACCACTCACATTGGAACCTGCACACGTTCACAGCTGCCTCACCCAGAGTCTGCCCTTCTGCTCACTGCTTAGCTTAGCACAGTGTGGGCAGTCAGCGGCAGTGACAATCAGTGACAGGATTCCCGAGGCACCTGCCCCATCCTGTGCTGAACACCTCGGATCTGAGGAAGGAAATTCCATTTTAGAACCAGAACCCATCCAGCCGTCTTTCCTGTTACTCCTTGACCACTAGGTAAAGAGGTAAAGATGATACTCAAGTGCGGTGACTGCCAGCCAGGTCATGAGCCACTGCAGATGACCAGGGGACTGAGGTGGACCTAGCTTCAAGATTCCCCCTTCCTGGCCAGGCACTGGCTGCTTCCTTGGGTTCAGTGGGCTCTGCAGACATGAGGAATGTTCCAAGCTTCTCAACCTCTTCTGGGGTGATCTTCCTCTATTTTAAGGGTCCGGGGTTTACCCGCTGCGGAGATGGGGATCTCACCACCATTTGGGACCCCACTTTCAGGAAGGGGGCGCAAGGCAGTGGGCAGAGTGCCCTGGAGTCAGGAGGCTGAAACAGCTCTTGGCCTCCACCACCCTCCTTCCTCCCACCTCCAGGGCTCAGCCTCCTCTCCTCACGACTTCCTGCCTTGTAATGACAGAGACAAGAAAGGGCCTAAAAGGCTTTGCCCCCATAACCACCAGCACAAGTCCTGGGCACTTCAACCTCGACCCCCTTCCCTGTGGGCACAGGGGCAGCCGCATTAATGAGTATTAAACGTGCTCCTCAAGGACGCCTGGCTCCCTTGCCCCACGTGCCTGGCCTCAGCCCATAAGGCTCTAAGACCCGGGAGCAGCAGGATGGAGGCGATGACACCAAACATATAGGAAACGTTTTTATTTCAAAAAGTTAATGAATTGAAAGCATCCTAAAACCTTAAACAGGATCCCAGACACAGAAGCCTAACGAACAGACAAATAAATATGCAAACCTGCCCCATGCTCAGGGGGCTGGCACTGGATGTCGGACCCTGGAAGGAGGGTGTGCTAGTCCAGAAGAGTCTTTGAAGTCATATAAATATAGAATACTTTAAACAGTAGGTCAGCATTAAATACTAGTCACCGAACTCTCATAACTTAACTTGCGTCACAGACTCAAAGTCGGGTACCTCTAACACGGAGAGACAGTCCCTCCCCAGCTGGCCCCGCCCGTCGGTGTGCAGTGACGCAGTGGACCACGGAGGGCAGGCAGGGAGAAACACTTCTCAAGGGTCGACCCTGCTCCTGGACCCCCAGCGGGAGCCTGCTGTTGCTGAGGCTGGTGCCTCCCCTTCCCAAGGTGGGGTCTGGTGGGTGGGGACCTGGGGAGTTTCTAGGAAGTGAACATCACCGCCCCCCTCCCCCCCACACCATCATCTGAGTCACCACTGGCGAGTGGGATGGCTGGTCACATGGTGAAGTACCAAAAACCTGGCAAAGACCAGACAAAGGCCCAGGCTCTGGCCCTCAGAGCTGACCAGAACGCCATGGCGGGTGACAAACACTGAGGAGGAAATCGTGAGTCTGCAGCCCCAGCAAAAGGTCTCCCCATAAGCCACTGCCTGCGGAGATTTATGCCCTTGACACAGAACAGCCCTGCCTGCCTGGGGGCTGGTGGGGGGAGTTCCAGTGACCATGGCACACGGCTGCTCTCCAACCCCATCCTGCCTTCGTGGGCTGCCCAGGCCCTCCACAGAGACAGCCCTGGAAAGGGCACCTGGAGTCTTTCCCATGAAACTGAGTCCCCGCCCCACCCCCCATGACCTGTCACATGTCACATCTCTCTGCGTGATGTCACACCCACTGGGAGGACACGACTGGCACTGAACTGGTGACTGGGACAGAATCAGGGCTCCATGGATCCCAAGCACCCCAGCCTTGATGTCCCCCTGTCGCCCACAGGAGATGAGCCATCACATTGGGCAGCCTCGCCTACCTGGGAACCCAAGTCGGCCACCCCATGGAGCCAGATCACCTCTGGGTGGGCTCAGCCCACCAGGCAGGCACCAGGGCTGGAAGAAAGGTCACAATAACCCCTGGGGAGTGAAGTGAGGGCAGTGGAGGGGGAGCCTCTAGGGTTGCAACCACCCTGGGGGGAGGGGGCAGGCCAGCCCCAATTCACAAGGGAGGACACAGACCAGGAGGGCTGACCTGGGAGGGGTGTCCCCAAGGGAGCAGAGGGCTAAGCACCTATCCTGGCCAAGGCTCAAGGCAGGACACGCCAACTCCCCATCCCCTGCCTTCCCACTGTGTCAGCTAGGTGGGGTGGGGTGGGTGGTAGGGGCTGGGAGTGGTCCCTGAGCCAGGGCCCAAGGGAACCTGAAGGGCCAGCTCTGGGCTGTGGCTGCTCTAGTGGGGTTTCCAGAGCAAGACGGTTGACCTGACAGCGAGGGCTCCTCACAGGGGGGAAGGCAGGGCCCCCCTACAGCTTCTGCCCAATAAAAGGATTGTTAAGAGCCACTTGGGAAGTCATGGTGAGAAAACTTTTTTCTTGGTGAGAACATGGATGAATATCCACCCAACGAGGAAAACAAACATCCTCCCCTTTGGAAGGGAAGGGGCACAAATTCAAGCACAGGCTACTTTGGGGACCTAGAGGGGCCAAGACCAGCATCCACTGGAACACTCACACTCTTCAGAACCAGGGATACCAGCTCCGGGGTTCCCAGGGGCTCCTCCAGGCACCCACCTGGAGAAGCCCTGGCTTCTGCAGGGCTCAACGCACATCCCACCCCCACCCCCACCCCCCTGCAGAAAACTTCAGCAGTGGCCCTGGAAGAGTAAAGATCAAACCACCCAGACCCTGCTTCTAGCTGCCCTCTCTTCCTTTAAGGAAAGGCCAACTGCATTTGAAACCTTGTGACCAACTACCGAGTCTGCCCTGCCCCGGGTTCCTTGAGAAACAACCCGCTCCTCCGCTCTGGCTGCCAGGGCAAGGGCGCCCACAGCTGTTTGCCTGGCGGGGCTTCAGCGACAAAGTCCCAGGGCCTCCCGGAGAGAAGCTATGACCTTGCACTTGCAGCCTCTCGTCCTCTCCCACACTAGCCTGGGACGAAGGTCCTGGAGGCCCCCAAGTCATGCGGGGCCACATTGGCAGGTGGGCTGGACAGGAAACCCAACACCTGTCCCAGCCCAGGTCCACTGGAGACAGACAACCCCCAGCAGGTCCTGCTGGGCCCCCTTCAAGGCCATACTCCTGTCCACTCCCCGCCCTGTGTTGCCAGGTCTGAGCTTACTTCCAGGAGGCCCCACTCATGGCGGATGTGTCGGTGCAAGGCCCTAGCAGGGTTGAGGAGCTGGGCAGGCATACCCCTCCACTGTGGAGCTGGCCTGCTGGCTGTCCAGCCCTGACCATAGAGTGTGGAACCTCCCTGGGGCCATCGTCAGCCTGATTCTCCATGTTCTGGATAGCAGGATCTGCGAAGAGGCTGTTCTCAGACTCTGCTCCACTTGTACCCAGAAGTGCTGGGGTTCTGCTCTCCCGGGGCAGGGGCAGGCAGGGGGGCAAGTAGGCACAGGTGGTGACTGCAGGAGGGGTATGCCTGCATTGGAGAGGTGGGGGCCTGGGGCAGGGGGGATTCACTGGAGCCTGAGATGTGCTGACAGGGAGGCAGCTCTTCCTGGACCAAGGAGCAGGAGTGTGCACGCTGGCCTGGCCCCAGGAGGCCCTGAACGCACAGCAACTCCCCAGGTATCTCATCCTGAGCCTTGCTTGCTCGGCTGCCCCCGAGTCCACGCTCCGCCCGGTGGGGCCCACCTGTCCTGTGCACAAGGAAGGGGGTGCTGCCCCCCTAAGATGCCAGGTTACCTGCACTGAGGCCCTCCCCGGGCCGGGCCGGGGCTAGTGCAGCTCGGCAGGGTTCTGCGGCGGCTGGGGCTGGCCCACATCCATGTCATTGCTGCCACTGTCTAGTTCAAAGCCGCGCCCGCCCAGGGGTGTCTGGGGCATGAACTGGCGGAAGATGCTGACGCTGCCATGCCAGAAGGTGGGCTCTGGGAGCCGGCCCACCACGCTCCATGCCCGAGTCTCTGGGTCGTAGGCCTCCACCACGTCGGAGAGTTCGAAGGTGTTATCATAGCCCCCAGAGACGTAGAGCTTACCTCCGAGGACGGCCAGGCTGCCCCCAACATGCACCTGTGGGCCAAGGTGGGCAGTGAGGGGAGGCTGGCAGCCAGGGCAGGGGAGAGCCCCCACAGATCCCCCTCTGTGGGGAAGGTGCCCAGGGCCCTTGGCAGAGGTGGCCTTGGCACTTCCTATACCCCAGCTAGGAAACAGGGGCTCCATGCCCAGGGGTCACACACCATGGCTGGTCCCAATGGTGGTCAAGGGGTCTCCAAGCAGCCTCATCCCTGTAAGACGGGCACGATTGTTCTCCCCATCTTACAGATGGAAAAACTGAGCCACACGTGGCTGACAGTGGCAGAGCTGGGACTTGATCCAAAATCTGGGCTCTGAACCACAAGACTGGACTATCCCACCTTTCCCAAAATTGCTATAATGAGTATGTGTAGCTCATTATAGGCTTCTCAGGTGGTGCAGTGGTAAAGAACCCGCCTGTAGTGCAGGAGATACAAGAGACATGAGATCAATCCCTGGGTCAGGAAGATCCCCTGGAGAAGGAAATGGCAACCCACTTCAGTATTCTTGCCTGAAGAATCCCATGGACAGAGGAGCCTAGCGGCCTATCGTCCACAGGGTTGCAAAGAGTTGGACACAACTGAGCATGCATGCGCGGTAGCTCATTATGGGGCCAACCAAAGTTAGATTTGGCAACAGTAAAGATGTTAAATAAACTCTGATATTGTATATTATGACACTGGTCATGCAGAGGTATCAAGAGAGAAGTTTGGAAAATTCTTTTTTTGCTATGGGGAGGCTGTGCCATGCAGCATGTGGGATCTTAGTTCCCGGACCAGGAATTGAACCCATGTCCCTCACAGTGGAAGCACAGAGTCCTAACCACTGGACCACCAGGGAAGTCCCAGGTTGGGAAGTATTAAGGAAGACAGAAAACAGAGATAGAGGTGGGTATAGATGTGTGTCTGGGAATAAGGAAAGTGCCCATGTGGCCAAATGCTACCAAACCTTCCTGGCTCCATCTTACTGTAAAACTCAACAAGCAAAGAAAGTCACACCCCATTAGGCAGCAGAAGTGTGGGTACACAGCAGGTGCTCAATAAATGTACTCCCAAGGTCAATCCCCAGGGACCTCCTTGTCTGACCTCATTCCTCTGTTGCCCCTGTGTTCACTCTGCTCCAGCCATGCCAGGCTGAGGGCTTGTTCCATGAATGTATCAGGCATGGCCCGCCCCAGGCCCTTTGCACTTGCAGTCCCTCTGTGGAACACTCACTCGAAGCCTGCTCTGTGGCTCACAGTGGGCACTCACTGAACTCTGAATGGATGAACTAAGCTATGTGACTCTGGCATCTTATGTAAGGTCTCTGTTTTGGTGACCCCCAAACACAAGTGGAGGACAGCAGCAGCCCGCTGTGCAGTGAGACAACGCTGGGGAAGTGCTCAGTACGGACCCTTGCCTGCTGGGACTGAACCTCCAAACACCTGTGCTGACACTGGCTGGAAACCAGGGCCAGCCCAAACACCCAGCGCTGGTGAGTCTGCAAACTCACCTGATTCATTGACGGTATCTTATCCCATTCGTTCTTGGTGGGGTTATACACGTCCACTTCAGCCGAGTCGTCCCTGGGGAGTGGGCGAGGAGGAAGAGCAGGTCAGAGTGAGTAGGAAGCCCCTGGGTGTGAGTGCTGGAGAGAGGGTCCGCCAGGCCCACCTCCTCTGTGATGCTGTTTGGCTGCCCACTGGCCAGTGGGACCCCGCCCCTGGCTCAGAGGGGCTGACTTCAGGTCCCCACACCTCGGCTCTGAAGCTGGAATCCAGCCTTGCTCCACAAACCCAACAATCACACTGAAACCCCTTCCTGCAGCCCAGCACCAATGCAGCAGACCCTCCCCGGCTACCACGGTCACACAGTCTAGCCTCAGCTCCCGAACTGACCATGGCCCGTCCGTCCAATCTCCACTTATTCTTCTGATTTGGACTTCTGCCTCCTCTTCAGGACAGCCTTCCAGGGCTGACCAGTCTAGGCCAGGCCCCCTGCCCCACTGCCCGCCCCCCTCATGCTCCTCGGCCGCCGCCCCCCCACCGCCGTCAGCCCCCATCACACCCTGTTGACTGCTACGTCCGAGGTGCCCAGCAGGGTGACCAGAATCACAGGAGCGAGGGCACCAGCACGGCCCCCCACTTTGGGCCCAGGCTCCTTCAATCCTGTTTGTCCCACTCCTGATGCCTTCACTCAAATGTTCAAAGGCACAGCCTCGAAAAACACTGTCTCCCAAATAGTAGCGTTGATGATGATGATGGTCACAGGTCAGCGGTTAGCAGAAGGGCCCGAGAATAAACATTTCAGGTCTTGTGGAGCAGACGGCCTCTGCGGCAGGTCCCCAGCACTGCCGCTGAGAACGAATGCAGCCACAGACATATAAACAAAGGGGCTGGTTGCCTTCCCATAAAACCTTATTTATGGACGCAGCTTTGAATTTCACATAACTTTCCACACGTCAGGAAGTATGACTCTTGCTTTGATTTTTTTTTTTCCTCCAACCACTTCAGAATGTAAAAACCATTCTTAGGTTGTGGCCCATGAGATGACGATAATTAATATGGGAACCCGCTGGGCTGCCCTCCCCAGCTGCAGGAACACAGAAGCTGCAGCCAGAAGGTGCCAGGCTGGACAAGGCTCTTGCCTCCTGCCTCTGCGGGGCCGGGACACCCCAGCCCAGGAGCCGTGTGAAATTGGGACAAAACTGGAGCACGGCTGGGGGAGGGGGCTGCTGGTCACTGCTCACGGCCGGGGCAGCTGAAGCGGACAGCGTGGGACACCTCCCTATCACAGCCTCTTCTAGACGGGAGCTACCCCAACAGCAGGCCTGGTGAGCAAGAGTGACGTGGCTGAGGTGCCCAAGGGAGTGGATAGAGTGCATGAACACTCAAGAGCACGAGACCCAGGCCCCCAGGCTCACCCACGCGCTCAAGGAGGCCAGGCCCTCACTGTTCACTTAGAGGATAAACAGGCTGCCTTTCTAGTTTGGTGGGAACTGTGGTGGGGGGGGCAGAGAAGGCAATGGCACCCCACTCCAGTACTCCTGCCTGGAAAATCCCATGGACAGAGGAGCCTGGTAGGCTGCAGTCCATGGGGTCACTAAGAGTTGGACACGACTGAGCGACTTCACTTTCATTTTTTACTTTCATGCATTGAAGAAATGGCAACCCACTCCAGTATTCTTGCCTGGAGAATCCCAGGGGCAGGGGAGCCTGGTGGGCTGCTGTCTATGGGGTCGCAGAGTCGGAAACGACTAAAGTGACTTAGCAGCAGCAGTGGTGGTGGTGGGGGGGGTTGTGATGAGTAGAGTTGAGCCCACCTACCTGGCCCTCCATGGCCTCGGTGACCATGTACGAAGGCTGACAGTAGGCCTGGGGGGCATCCTAGATCTGCACGTGGGGCGGTTTAGCAGCTGACCAGCAAGCCCAACCAGGAGGACCAAGGCGCTGGGCCTTAAGTCCACACGCTGGTCCTTGGGCATATTTTGTTCTAGGACTGTGGGGTGGGGGCAGGAGGGTGTTCTCAAAGGCACGCGGCCTGGAACTGCCCTGAGGGGCTGAGGCCAAGTTCCTGGCACTCTGAAGAAGGTTCTGGCACCCTCGTAAGGTGTATTTATAGCCACCCCCACCCCCACTTTGAAGAGGTTTTCACAACTCATGGAGGAGAGCTGGATGAAGGGTCAGATGATGTGATGTTTATAACAGGGTCAGGAGCCGGCTGAGTCTCTGGGGCTTCCTTGGAGCCAACCTGACCTTTCTGGGAATCAGGGAGGCCTGGCCACCATGAGACAAGCAACATCTCTGGGTTCCAACTGTATTCTCCCTGGAAGCCTGGGAAAGAGCCTTAGGTCTGGGGCAGGGGAGGCTCAGCCGGTGAGAGGGGAGTGGCCCAAGAAGCACAGGGTCCCTGTCCTCAGAGACCCCCAATTCAAAGTCCCAGATGGAATGGGGAGGGAGGGATGGTCATTCACACCTTCCCCTCCCCTCTGGGTCTGAAGTTTCAGGCAGGCTCTAGGCCATGGAGGGGAGAGGCAGATACACAGGCCTATAAGCATGTAGGGCTCCCTGATGGCTCAGATGGCAAAGAACCTGCCTCCCAATGCAGGAGAACCAGGTTCGATCCCTGGGTTGGGAAGATCCCCTATAGAAGGGCACGGCTACCTACTCCAGGATTCTTGCTTCAAGAATCTCATGGACAGAGGAGCCTGGCGGGCTATAGTCCATAAGGTCACAAAGAGTCAGATACAACTGAGCAACTAACACACACAAGCACGTTTGTGAGTAGATACATGACACACACACAGAAGCTGTGATCTGCAGATATGGAGCTCCCAGCTCCTTAGATGCCCACTGGCCGATCAGGAGGGGACATCTGGTTGTGACAAATCATCAAGACCCACGGATGCACGCTGATCCACTGGGTGCCCAGCTCCACAGCTAGGCCCAGGGAGGCTGGGATGTGGTGACAGCACATGGGACCTGGGTTGGAAGTTCTTGGTTCTAACCCTGTGCCACCATTTAAAGCCTGAGAGGCCTTTCCTGGTGCTCCAGTGGCTAAGATGCCGTGCTCCTAATGCAGGGG